GGCCATAGAGATAGTACAGCAGGTAGGAAACTTGCCTTGCACACACAAACCCGTGTGCAAGTTTCCTATCCCGGCCATCCCATCTGGTTCCCCCAAGCACCTCCGGGAGTGATTCCTGAGTACAGAGCCAAGAGTAACACCTGAGCAACTCCGGGTATGATCTTGTTCATCTTGTCTCCCTCCTTTGAATTTCTGTGCCCATACCCTGGTTTGACCTTAGTTCTTTTCCCTTTTTGTCTGTGCCCTTGTAAACATGCCCCTTACTAAGCCATCTTACTTTCTCGCCTATATTAATTCCTAACAATCGCTTTCCCCCAACACTCTTACCCCTTCCTCTGCTCCATCCATTCACTGACTGATGATTCTGGTGAGAAAGATCCACTGAGGCATTCTCTTTTTGAGCTGCCTTCATTGTGCCTCTAGGGTCTTCAAGGGACCCTGAAAGTCAGGTGATCGAGTTGTCTGACCTCATTCCTCCTCATTGTTCTGGACTCCACACTCCATTATCCTGGACTACCTGTGCCTCTGAAAGTTTCAGGTTCCTTTTCCTGAATGTTCCTAATCCTTCCCACCATATCTGCTTCCTTTCACTCCTTTGCTGTTTGACTTATTCTTGTCCTGAGGTGCCACCTCCAGCAAGGAGAAAATTCTCACTTTCCCAGTCTGTCTTAAGTGTCACTTCTCAAATTTTCCCATGGCAACCTATGACTCCTAATGGAACCCATATCCATTGTACTTGGTTCTTCCACCAAACCAAGGTTGTTTTTTTTTATAGTCAGTGAACGTGTGTGTGTGTGTGTGTGTGTGTGTGTGTGTGTGTGTGTTGGAGTCTGTCACCTTGTGGTCTCTGTTACAACTATTAAACTCTGCCATAACTAAAAAGCAACCACAGAGAGTAGCACTGTAACACTGTCCTCCCGTTATTCATCGATTAGCTTGAGTGGGCCCAGTAACATCTCCATCATGAGACATGTTGTTACTGTGTTTGGCATATTGAATACATCACGGGCAGCTTGCCAGGCTTTGCCCCGCGTAGGCAAGATACTCTTGGTAGCTTGCCAGGCTCTCCGAGAGGGGTGGAGGAACCGAACCTGGCTTGGCGGGGCTGACTTCGCACAAGGCAAACGCCCTACTGCTGTGCTATAGCTCCAGCCCAACCACAGAGAGTACATCAAAGAAAGGCATGGCTACATTCCAACAAAACTAGGGACACTGACATTGGAACTTTAAAAAGTTTTCATGTGTCATGAGAGGTGATTGTTTGGATTATTTTTCAAACCAAACATATAAGAATCAGTTGTAACCCACAGGCTGCTTAAAAGCCCATGGGTAGGGCAGGTTTTCTTGTTTGCTGATGCTTTAACTGCTCCATGAACTTTTACCAACCAGAGCAGAGTCTCATCCGACTTTGTATCCACGGTACTTAGAACAGTCTCCAACTCATAGCGGGAGCTTAATGATTAACTGCTTTGATAAACAAAAGTTGTGTAGTCAGTGATTTAAATATCAGGATTTAAATCTGACTCAATTTGATTTTGCAGGGGGATGCCACACAGTTCATTCTGTGGTCCCAGCATTCAGTGATACACATAGTAGGAGTTAGGATAACCAAACAGAAATTCTACTTAGGGCTGAAATTGCTGGTACCTAAGGCAATTCTATGTTCAGTGCTGGATTTTGAAAATTTTATCTAAGGTACTAAAGTTTATTGGCGTTTTCATCAGTAATTTTCTCTTACCTTTTTATTGTCTTAGCATAAAATAAAGTTAGGTTTTCTTAAACTTAAAACTTTCGTGTCCTTTTAACTCATTCTATTGGGGATTTCTATTTTTACTTTTTTGTATTATCTTTTCTTTATTGGGAGGACATCCTGTGGTCAATTTTTAAAAGTTTATTTTTATATTAATGTCATAGTATTTTGCGTGACAATGTACCGACCCTCACCCATGACTAAAATACCTCTCTCGGGGAGCACCAAGTAAAGGGTGTTGAGAGGATCTTCCCAAGCTGAGAGATGCATGCTGAAAGTAGACTATAGACTGAACATGATTGCCACTCAATGCCTCTTTTGCAAACCACAGCACCCTAATGGAGAGAGAGAACAAAAGGGAATGCCCTGCGACTGGGGGGGTGGGGGAGTGGGAGGGATGCTGGGAGCATTGGAGGTGGGGAATGGGCACAGGTGGAGGGATGGGTACTCAATCATTGTATAACTGAAACCCAAGCACAAAAATTTGTAAGTCTACAACTGTACCTCATGGTGTTTCACTAATACAAATTAAAAATAAAAAAAATACCTCTCTCAAAGTGTTTTTTTCGGGGGGGAGCGGGGAGACAAGGGTAGGTAGTTGGGTCATACTCTGTGGTGATCAAGAACTACGTACTTTTTGGAGAATAAAAATTTTCCTTTTAAAAATTAAAAAATGCATGGATTTTACATTTCATAACTCCTAAAAGCAGTTTTTAACTGATACACAAAATTGTCTCGCTGTCTCTCTTCCTTCCTCCCTCCCCCACTCCCTCCCTTTTCCCCTTCCTTCCTTTCTTCTTTCCTTCCTCCCTCCCTTCCTTCCTTCCTTCCTTCCTTCCTTCCTTCCTTCCTTCCTTCTTCAAAGCCATTCTCTACTTTGGAATCAGAAAGCACTAAACTTCTTAGGTTATATAAATGTCCAGAACATCACAGCTATGACCTACCATAGGCCTGTGATTGAAAAGAACCCTGAGTTTTCTCTAGAAATTCCTTTTTCTCTACGGTCTTTTGCAGACCTGTCTCCCCTTTCTTTTCCTTTGACAGAACAGAAAGACACTAAAGCACAAAATACCATAATACAGTGGACATTCCCTGTGACTTCACTTTAGGCATGAATTTACCTGGGTGACCCAATCAACTGCATAAGGAATGTTAGAGACAGAGCTCGGTTGGCTGTGAGACCAAGAAAGTCTGGGAACCAAGGCTGACCTGGGGTCTGGGAAAGGCAAGTGGTCGAACCCCAGGTCTAAGGTCAGGAGTTAGGTAACTTTATAGGGGCAGAAAGGAAAGAAGAACTTAGGTCAGAAATTCATTTGTAGGAAAAGAGAGATTTGTGATTAGAAATGGCAATGCTGGAAGAACTGTCAATATTTTATTTGAAATATTATTTATATAGTATAAATATATACATATATGTCGCAGGAGAAAGAGGTAGAACAAGTTAATAGTGAAAAGCCAGAGTTGTATCAAGAGGAAAAGAAAGACATGGTGGCCAGAGCTTCGTAATCAGAATCCATAGGTATGATTTCCAACAAGCTCTGAGTCGAGTTCCAAGTGCCTTGAAATACTTAGGAATTCAAGCTGTCTTGGAGATGAAACCTGGCTGGAGAGATGGTTCAGGTCAGACATTTGCCTTGCATGAAGATGACCCTGATTAAATTCCTAGCAACACCTATGGAATCCAGAACACCACCTGGAGTGATCCCTAAGCATAGGCCCAGGAGTAAGCCTTTGAGGATTTCTCAGGGTGGCCTGAAAACACAAAGAAAGAATAAAACCAAAGAATGGTTTTCCAGGCTATCTCCCCCATAAAGGTGTGAGAACTAATCTACAAATTTACCTTTAGAGATTTTATGGGGGCGATAAGCCAATAGTAGTCTGACTTTCAAGTGACTATCTTGACACGTAGCTGTGATATAACTTTCATATTGGTCTTTAATACAGGTCAGTACTTCCTAAAATATCTTTAAATAATTTCAAAATCAAACAAAAGCCATTCAACAGTTTTCATCATATTGAGAACCCGAGAAACTAACTTTTAGAATAGTTTCAATGGTAGATTTTCAAACCCTGGCTCTACATTTAGAAATCACTCCTAGTGCTGTACTGCTGCTCCTGCCTCGGAAATCCGTTTTGAAACAGAAAAATGGATTTTAAGCTTAGAGACTCATTACAGTTTCTAAGCTTACGCTAATTGAGGTCCGTATGAAAAACCTTGGTTTGGCCAAAGACCTCTAACTGGGGAAATGGTGAGAAACCAGACAGCCAGTTCTGTATTTTTTAAGCCTAATTAAATCAAACACCAGGCCTCTCTTAGGATCTTTTCTTTCACAGCTGTTTCTCTTAAAGAACAGCGAGCAACATGCTGATACTTTTAAGTGCAGAGATCCCTGTTTTTTTTGGGGGGAGAGGGAGATCAACCCTCAGTCCTGCTTCAGACATTCATTGAATGAACATACAGGGGCTAGAGCCGCAGTACAGCAGGTAGGTAGGCAGGCGCTTGCCTTGTATGCAGCCCACCCAGGTACCATCTCCTGCATTCCACATGGTCCCCTGCCTACCACCAGGAGTAATTCCTGAGCCCTGACCGCAGAGACAGGAGTAAGCCCTGAGTATTACCGTGTGTGCCTCGTCCCCCACCCCCAGTGAAAGGAATACTGAGACGGCTGGCAGTATCATCTTTAATGCAGACCTCTTACCCCATATCTTTCAACTGCCTCCCGTCCCAGTTTATTTTTATGGGGTACCTCTCCGCCTGGAACATTCCCCACCTCAATGGAGCCTGGTACGTGCTCGCCATCCAACTGTGGGGGGATGCCTTAGATTAGCCTTTCATCTGCAATGCTCGGCGCCAGGAGCGTGTGCACTCCCCGGCCTCGCCGAGCCCCTGCAGGCGCGTTCGATGAACTGGCAGCTGCATCTCCAACCTGTGGAATCCAGGGATGAATGAAGCAGCCGCTAGTCGGGCTCCTGGCCGCGGCCCGGGCGTCGCTCGGCTTCCGCCGCCGCCTGCACATCTGTGATCGGGGGTGGGAGGAAAGAAAGCAGAAACCCCGGGGGTAGCGGAATCCAGGGGGTCCGGGAGGTGGGGGCGGGGGTGAGGCCGATGACCCCGCGCAGCCCCCGCGGCCCCCGCCCGGGACCCGGCACCCGGCACCCCTGCCTCGGCGTGGCCCCGCCCCTCGGCCGCCGCCGCCTGTGCGCGTGCGCAAGCGGGAGCGCGCGCCGGTCCGAGCGCCGGCGCCGGGGGCGCGCGCCGCCCAGCGAGTGTTTGACGTGGCAGTTCCCAGCCCGGCTGCCACTCGGTGCGCGCGGGCCGCCTGCGCCGACGTCGGGCCGGGGAAGGCGCCGGGGGCTCGGCGGGCCTCGGGCACGGGGCGCGCAGCGCAGGTAACGCCGCAGCCGGGCGGGCCGGGCCGGGCGGGAGTGGGGGGCGACGCGGGGGTCCCTCCTCCTCGGCTTTCCGAGCCCCCCTCGGTGCAGTTTCACCGGGGACTGGGGGGCAGCGAGGGCGAGGGGTGGGCGTGGGCATTTCCCACCCGCCCCCCATCTTTGTGTCTGGGGATGCTGAAACTGCCGGATTGAGGTGCGCGGGAGCCCATGCATTCCTGGGGGCACCGCCAGCGCGCACTTCTGGTCCCCCTTACCCACTTAATCCGAGGGGGAGGAGGAGGAGGAGGAGGAGGGGGAGGAAGAGGAAGGGGGGGGGGGTTGGAAATATTCACGGTGAAAATGGCAACTGTATCTTCCTTCCAGCTCTCGGGCATCCTGAGAGCGAAAGTGATTCGGCCCGATCCCAACTTGGTCCAGGGTGCTTAGTGCTCCCGGGCTCGGTGGTCGGGTGGTGGTGGGCTGCGGGGTGTTTCCGGGATGGGAGCCCCCCCCACCCCAATCCTACCCCCCATCCCACCCCCCCGGTTTGGATTCTCGGCCTGCTCATGCAAAGTGGCTTTGTGCCCCGTCGCCGCTGGCAGCTGAGTCAGGTCTCAGTAACTTGGGGCACGGGCCGAGGAAGTTTGACGTGGCAGGCTGGGTGCATGAGGAAGCAGATTCCTCCCAGGACCGAGGGAAGAGGGACCGTGACTGTTTCCTGCCCCCGGCCGTCGGCATCCTCGCCTTGCTTCTCTGTCACTCAGCAACAGGCGGCTACGTAGGTGTGTTCCTGCCGGCTGCCTGAGCGTGTCGGGTCGGATGTGCGCGACCAAAGCTCAGGCTGCCACGTCTCTGGCTGCAGAGGGGGCGGGAAGAAGCGCGGTCAGCGGCGGAGTGGACCAGTAGGCCGGCGCCTGTCTCCGCTCCTCTTGGCCGAGTTCTCACCTGCCACGGAGAATAAAGTGATCTGCTCACACGCACACGCACATGCACACGGCACACACACGTCTTTAACTCGACTTCTTTCTTTTTCTTGGAAACTCTGGTTTCGTTGAACGTCGCATAACCAAAGAGAATGCCTCTTCTTGGAGAGAGGGCAATTTCAGGTCTTAGCAGGTACCAGGTAGCCTCATAATATGAAAAAGAAGACGATGTCCAGGCTTGATGAAGAGACTGGAGGAGAGTGATAGAATCCGTGTTTTATAGCTCAGAAAAGCTTGGGCGGGGGTGGGCTTTACCATATGAGGGAACTGAGGCCCAGAGAGGTTCTTCGGTTTATCCCATGCTGTACAGTCAAAGGGGTGGCAGATTGGGAGTGAAAAATCTACTTCTCTTGCCAGAACTTGCAGCTTTCACTGCTGGATTATATTTTTAAAAAAAGTGTTTTGAAATGTCTTTTCTTTTGTGAAATTGGGGTAAATGGAGACTTAAGACAAACTGATGTTTAGGTTCAAGGTGAAATCAAGATAGATGCAGTAAATTTGTGAGTGTGTGCCTAAATGCATATGAAGTTGTACTTCTTAGCTCCTTAAATATAGTGCTCGAGTTCTGAAAGGTAGAACGTTTAAATCAGAAAGTCAGTCATCTTTGAGAAACCATCGACAACTCTCTATTGCAGACTTCTACGTGACATGGTCAATTTATGACTCAAAAAATGCTGTTATCAGGCTCTGTCTTTATCTTCTACTATGTTTGTTGGACTATTGATTTTCCTTTGTCTTAACTGCCTGATTAAAATGACTGAGTAAGACACCACAGAAATGACACAAGTCATAAAGTCTCTAATGGCAGAAACCAGAGACAAATTTGCTGGTCAGACGATGGAATGACATGATGACCAGAGTAGCATGCTCTGTGCTGAAATGGGACCTTGGAAACCAGGGACGCAGAAATAGTAGATGCGTTTACCAACTTACCAGAGACTAGATACAAAGCACTTGAGTCTTCCCTTGAGTAGGTAGTTCGCAGCTGCTATTCAGATATACTGCTCAGGACTGTAGAAGAAAGTGACTGACTTCCATTGAGTTGCAGTTAGATTCTGTTTTACGTGGCGATGATGTAACATATTATTGTACTATAGGAGGATATCTCATGTCCCTGGTCATTATACCACTCCCCAAACATTTACTAACTAGTGTTGCTCTTTTTAGTAGCTTTAAGTGACTCTTGTTTATTTGCTTTAATAGTAAGCCTTCTTGTTGACATCCTTTCCCTTCTTTTGCAGGATTCTTTAGCAGATCTATCCCTTGGAATGATATTTTCATCATGAGCCAACAAGGTTATGTGGCTGCACCCCCCTATTCTCAGTCCCAACCTGGAATAGGCCTGTCATCACCCCATTATGGGCACTATGGGGACCCAGCACACGCAGCTGCTCCACCAGGTAAAATGCGTTCTTTGCACCTGTATTGACTTTCCAGGTTCAGAGATTTGGTTGTTCTCAAGAACAGCCTTAAGAGAGCTGAATGATCAGGACAGGAAGCAGAGGCCTGAGATTGTTATTAGGAAAAGACTCATCTAGAAGAGGCTACGTCATCAGTTTGGGTATTGCCTGGAATTTAGCTCACTTGGTTTCTCAGTATAGATTAAAGCACAAAATATTCCTGTTTTGTTTTAATTTGAGGTATCATAGTTTACAGTAGCCTTTAAGACGTTATTTTATCATTGCTGAGCACTATACCAGTCCCTCCTGAGTGTTTTATTTTCACTTTTAGATTTTTCCCTGCCATTCATTAACTCGGACTGTGAGGTCATTGAGGGAATGCAATAGTAATATTTATTATAAATGTATAATCTCTATGTACTGAATAAATACTTTATATTGCTATTTTTTTATTACATAGACAAAATTGGTTTGGGCAATGATATAAAATTGGTTTTGATATTTGAAAAAACTAGATTTTTACACTGAAATTTACTCCATGGTTATAATCAGAATAACCATGACCTTGCCTTGAAGTATTTGAAAAAAAAAAAAAACTATTTGTTGCTGTAAAGTATTATGTCTAGCCAGGAATCTTGGCTTGAGGGATGAAAGTGGGGTGCGAGGAATGGAGTAAGGAGGTGGGCGTCCTCTTGTTTTGATGGCAGTTGACCCCCCGCCCCTACGTCACAGGACTGCTGTGGGGCACCATCGACGGGGCTACTACTTGCATCCACTCCCAAATCCCTCGAAAATCTTAAGTGAAGACAGTTTCTGGGTTTTGGAGAAAATGCCGAGTGAGTCCACTCTTTGGTGAACATGGACAGTGTATGAATTAGTGAGGGTCTCCTGTTAGCTAGGACTGAGTCCGGGCTGTCAGGTCCAGGCTGTGCCGGGGAAGGTATGGAAAGAGAGTAGGGAGGCCTGGAGTAAGGCGCCACACACCGTCTATTGACAGCGTGTTCCCATGCCCAGCTGTGAGCTGCCTGTGGCATGTTGAATCATAGAGATTTAGGAAGTGCTCTAATTAAATTTCAAAATAGGCCCTAATTTCAAGAGCTTCCAGTTGAGATGTCCTCTTGTGGTCGGCTCCAGTCCTCCCCTGACGTTTGTGGTTGGGTATTTTTGGATTCTCCATCAGGGCCTCTTTCTCCAGTTTCTCTCTACCTGGCTGCTCTCAGCCTGTGTGTAGGATGATACATAATCGTCACCCTGTATATTGTAGCATGGACTAACTCTTTTATTGGTTTGGCTTTTTTTTTTGTTTGGGGGCCACACCTGGCAGTGCTTAGAGCTTATTCCTGGCTCTCTGCTCAGGGACCGCTCCTGGAGGAGCTCGGGGGACATTGTGGAGTGTCAGGGATTAAACTCAAGTCAGCTGCATGCAAGGCAAATGCCTGACCCATTACGCTATTGCTCTAGCCCCAAGACTCACTCTTTTTTGAATTGTTATAATAACCCAAAACTCATGCTAAATGCTTTATATGTATTATTCAAGCCTTTTCTTAACCCTGTATTGTAGCCAGGAATTTGGAATGTGTTGTAAACTATGACTTATTCACAGTCACATAGCTGGTGGCACAGCCAGAATTCATACCCAGGTCTCGAGAAGACATCTCCCAAATGTGGATATACGGAGGGTTGACAGTATTATCGCCCTCCATGGCTCCGTGTGATCTCCCCACTTTTCTTTCTGCTGGGGCCTTTGGTAGTCTCCTGTTGTCTAACGCGCATTCGTTTGGCCAAAACTCACTTCCTCTTTGGTTTCAACACTTTCCTTTTCTTATTTTTCTTGGGGACTTTCTGTTTATCTCATTCTGAGGACCCCACCCCACCCCACAATCCCTCCCACCCCCAACACACATACAGGACCTTTGATTGTTGCTATTTCTTCTTATCATTTTGTCTTTACTCCTCTCTCTCTCTCTCTCTCTCTCTCTCTGTCTCTCCCTCCCTCCCTCCCTCTTTCCCTCTTCATCCCTCCCTCACCTATCTCTGTGCAGGTTTTCCCTTAAACGTTATCATTCCATATAAAGTTTTAGCCTTTGTCTGCCTTTCTGCCTTTCTTTCTTTCTTTCTTTCTTTCTTTCTTTCTTTCTTTCTTTCTTTCTTTCTTTCTTCTCTCTCTCTCCCTCTTCCCCTCCTTCTTTTCCTCTCCCTCTCCCTCCCTTCTTTTTTTCCCTCCCTACCTCCCTTCCCCCCCCCATTTACAGTATTGGGGATCTGCATCTCTTTGACCCCTGCTCCCATTGCTTTCCTCTTGTTCTTATCCCTTTCCCCTTCTCTCTGCTGTATTGCCTTCTCCTCCCTGTATTCCTGGGCCAAGAGTGATCTAGGCATCTTCCCACTGCCTATTAAAACCATTGCATTTCCTCAGCCAGTTGTAGTACAGAGATTGTTAGAGAATCCCCAGTTAATCCTTTCTTTCACTTAAAGTCCATTATGGCTTCTCATAGCCATAATGGACTTTAATTTGGATGTTAGGCTCCCAAGACCTTATTTGTTTACTGCTTTTCCTTTTTTTTCAACTCCTTTTCCCTTTTTCAGCCACATTTTCACCCCTGTCCCTCAGTGATTCTAAGCACCTAGTCATTTGGAGGCTGGGTTGTCTTGATTTACCCACCACATCACCAGAGCCAGCCTAAGCCTCTCCACACCTTTCTTCCTTCAGACCCTATTCAAGTAGAGTGCTTGTCGGCTTTTGCCCTCTTCTTCCTGACGTTTATCCTAAACCCTCTTCTCCTCTGCACTTTCCTTTACTAACCTCTGTGCCATTTGCCACGCTGTGTTATGACATGTGCCTGGAGCAGAGATGCTCATTAAGTTTTGATTCAGAGAGTGAGTGAATGAATGACAGGCACTGCATTTATTGGCAAAATGCTCTGGTGTGTGAGTGTGTGTGTGTGTGTGTGGTGGGTATATCTGTCTGTGAGTCTGTGTATCTTTGTTTAATGAAGTTTGTCATCCTTTAATATAAATTTCTTTTTCTTTATTAGGTCCTCAGGTGGTGATCAGGTTCTGAGACCCTATAAAATATACCTTTCTGTAAACCATGTGTTTTTAACGATTTAAGCCATCATTTTTCTGTCCTGCATAAACTTAGATCTCTGATTAGTCAGTCAGCATGTGCTTTACCTTCGAATCTTTTGGGAGATGCTTTGATTGCTTCTGTGATAGATGCCAGCAGCTGAGTTATGGTTACTTTCGATTATATATTCTACTGCAGGGACTGGCCTGCACTGACTCTTGGCTTTGCACTTCTCTCATGCCATATATTTCTTCCATGCCCAGGTGTGAGGTGAACACTCTGTGGTGACATTTAACAGGTTGAACACATGAGCTAAATTCTTGTGGTGATACCACAATGAGTAAAATAAACTGAATCCCAGACTGTAGAGGACTTACGTATTAGGTGCCTCCACAGAGAGCATGCAGGGCAAACGGTCCTGTGATGGGAGCATGGAGGTGGTTTTCAAGGGGATTTGGAGCCCTCAACCAAGAAGGAACCCTTCCTGCAGGGAGCGACCTGAACGTGAGCACAAGCTGGCCAGGTTAGGGAGATGGCGTGTTGGGGATGAGGAAGTGGGGTGGGAATTATGGAGGTGACCTGTGTGAGGACTGCAAGTGGCCCAGCATGGTGGGGCATAAAGTATGAGCAGTGAGAGAACAGAATACTGAGGCATTCTTGTATGGGGAGTCTCCTGCTACTGCATGTTTCAACCCGGGGGTGGTCACCCTCATAGGGGCATTTTGCCCAGTGTGACAGTCCGCTTTAAATGGTGAGTTAAGAAGTGAAGAGAAGGAGTCCAAGCTGGCCAGGTCTCTCTCCAGACTGCGGTTCCCTGTCTTCAACTCTGTTGACATTGGGGTCAGAAATTTGCTGATGGAGGGAACCCAGGCTGGGATTGTGAAATGATCGGCAGTGTTTGTGGCCCCTCTCCATTAGACCCCAACACTCCAGAACTCCCCTTTTAATGTCCCCCTTTGTCAGCCAGCTCCATCCTAAGCATTTCTAGGTTGTCTCTTCAAGAGCACGCTGGTCGCTCCTGATTGTAGACTGCTGGCTTAGGAGCTGACGGGCAAGAACTGAAATAGCTGATGAGGTTCATGGTAAGTTGTGAGCTCTGTGTGTGTGTCCACAGCACCGACCCCCTCACCCCACCCCACCCCCAGCACAGAGCCTCAAGGAAGCATAGCTATTGCCACCTCGAGGATAGGGAGCTCATCTTTATTTTAGACAGCTATATCATCAATGGTTCCTTTTGTTTGTTATTTTAAATTGAGGCACTATGATTTATAGTACTGTTCACAGTAGGATTTCATGCATGCAGTATTCCAGGACCATACCCTTTAGCAGAGTGTCCACTTCCATCCACACAGAGTGTCCACTGCCCAGTCAGCTCAGTTCTGTAGAGCAGCCCTCAGGTTCTGTGTGCACAACTGGCTTTTAACTTTGGTTTTAGCATGCAGATTCAGGGACAAATTCAAATTCAAACTTTTCTGTGATGCAGTTTTGGTCAACGATCCTTTGCTGATTGCTGAAATTGCTGGAAGCACTCTTAACAGAAACAGATTTATTCAAGAGTTAGCAGAATTTGTTCAAGTGTTTGGGAAAGCCAGTAAACCAGGCTCATGACTGGGTGATACATGTTCATTGTGATGCACACCCCAGGTAGGACCTTCTATCAGCAGCTACTGGCTTTCTACCTGAGAACTACCATCTGCCCCCAAACTGTACCTGAGAGCCGCTGTCTGCCCCCAAACTGGCCACACTCTCCCAGAAGTGGGCTGCTTTGTTGCATTTCAAGTACATTGCAACCTGATTTGGAAAGGAGTCTCCAGAGAAGGAGGGTCTAAGTTTCCAGCCACTGACCACCCAGGCAAGGCAGTCAGGAAGGAATTGGAACGGCTACCAAAATGGCTGTTCTACAATGTCTGCTATGGCATTCAAGACCAGCTTTGGATTTTAGAGACTTTTCTCTCAACATTACCCAGAGCTCGCTCATTCTCATCACAGAAGTTTCCTTCCCTATCACCATTCTCAGACTGTTTTATAAAGAACTTGATTTCTCTTTATCTCTGATCTTTGAAAATGCCAGTATGTGCCAGGGGATGGTTACGACTTTGCAGATAACCGTGACACTGGTTTCCTTTTGCCCTGAGGATGAAGTCCACAAGCCACAGGAGACTTTGTGTCACCGAAACCAACCTGGACCACCTCAGCTCCTCCTTCCTACCCCATCTCTCTCGCCTCGGGTTCCACCAGTCTCTCTCCTGGTGGGCTTCAGTCCCTGGTCTGACTCTGTTCTCAGGAATCTCCTGCCTGTCCTTCATGATTGAACTCAGTCTTTTGTCCCTGAACTTTCCTTGATTCCCCCAGAAGAGTTAGGCAGTCCCTCTGCATATTATCATGCTCGTCACTTGGCTCTGTAATTGTTTGTTTTCATGGTTGTCTCTTCCCTAAGAGCTCCCAGCTCTCAAAGGCCCATCAGTGTATATTGAACGAGAAGTTTGAATCACTGCTGTAGAGTTCATTAAAAAAAAAAAGAAGGAAAGGAACTTTTTCCTAAGATTAGTGTCTGAGATCTGCTTATGTAGATGAGAATGGGGTTTGGGATTTTTTATTCATTTATTTAGACCTAGGTGTGAAGGTTGCTAATGAAGCTTGCTCTTTACCTACTTATTTAAGAAATGAGAGTATCCTAGGGTCTTTTAGTGTATGAACTTATTTATCATTTCAGCACTCATCTTGTGGATTTTTTACTTCTGTCCAAAATGAATTTTTGAAGTGAAACTACAGGGATGTATATGATGAGAACATAAAGGCATGTGTGTCCTCCTGGCTAGTGGAACCTAGATAAGAAGGGGCAGTGCATGTGGCCACGGGTGAGGATACTTGGGCTGAGGATTGTTTTCATAGATTAAGTCTTGTTCTGGATGCTCTCCTCTGCATCACCTCATTTTATTGCAGGACAGTCCCCAGGGACAGGGCTATTGCTATGATGCAGTGTTGTAATTGCAAATTCTGAAAGATTTTGTCAGGCTCAGAGAGGGTCATTGGCAGGGAAGGAATTCAGTCTAAGTCAAGTTTTTCCTAATCTTCTGGGTGTGTGGGTTTGAGCACTTAATATAAAAAAATGTAGTGTTCTGTGTACTGGAGAAATAGTACAAGGTAGGAGATACTTATCTTGTATATAGCTAATCCTGGTTCAATCCCCATCACTGCATATGGTCCCTTGAGCTCCACCATGAATGATTCGTGAGTACAGAGCCCAGAGTAAGCCCCGAAAACCACTGGGTATAGCCCCAAACTCCCCCCACATGAATGCTGAGGTAATTAGAAATTAAACGTTAAAATATCTACAATTTAGAACAACCCAGTCAGCTCCCTAGTTATCAGCAGCAACCTTCTTGAGAAAGATGAAGGAAGAAAGGAGTTGCTGAATATGTAACACCAGCGTACTCCAGTGGAGGGGGTGGCAGGGCACAGAGATGGTTCGAAGGCACCCGAATGCTGTTCCAGGGAGCACTGTAGCACTGTTCTCCCGTTGTTCATCGATTTTCTCGAGTGGGCACCAGTAACGTCTCCATTGTGAGACTTGTTACTATTTTTGGCATATTGAATATGTCACAGGTAGCTTGCCAGGCTTTGTCGTGCGGGCGGAATACTCTCGGTAGCTGGCTGGCCTCTCCAAGATGGGCAGAGGAATTGACGTGCAAGTACCAGGGAGAAGGGAGGCAAAAGAAAACTAGAATGGACTGAGGCAAAACTGAGCTAGATAGGAGTGGAGAGTGACGAACAGAAATGTTCCTTCAGTTATTGTCCAAGATTATGTATGGGCTGAGGAGGGAGCTTAGAGGTCAGCAGTACCTTCCTTGCATATGCAGTATCTTCATCACTGCATGCCCCCAAGTGGCACCCTAGAGGCACCCAGCACCATCAGCTTAGTCCCTGGTGGCCTCTGAGTATGACTGGGGTGACCTTGTCAGCCCTGGGCACCAACAGACCCAACCAGCCTTGAGCTGGCCCATTTGGCTGAATAGCACCGAGAGGAGCGCTCAGTTCCCTGAGCACTGCCTGAGAGGGCCTCTCACCCAAATGCTGTGCCATTGAGATCACAGGTTGACTAGACAAGTCTTTCCTTTTGTACTGAGGGGAAGCTGAGGTCCCCAGAGACGAACTCTTGGGCCATACATTTGCTGGTGAGGGCCTTGATCTTCTCTACCCCAAGCTTAAAGAATTTTTTTTTTCTGTGAAGAGGAAAATGTCTTAAAAAAACAAACAAACAAACAAACAAACAAACAAACAACTTGTTCTTTTTGTTTTGTTCTTTAGTTTTAGCACCACACTCAGTGGTGCTCAGGGCTTCCTAGGGGCTCAGGGACCATGTGGGGTGAATACTGTTTGGCCACTTGCAAAGCAAACTCCTGTCCGCTGTACTCTATCTCCAGCCCTTGAAAGAAATTTCTGAAGAGAAACATTCAGTACCTCTTAGGTGATCTGATGATAAATAAGCAAAGCCATCCAGGCCTGGGCAGAAAGCTCCTAGGACTGCAGGCTGGGCCGTGTGCTGGGACCATGACCGCCTACCCCCCCCCCCCCACCCCCCCTCACCTGACTGGAATAAGCAGTGCTGAGTTTGGGCCAGATACTTTGAAAACCCGAAATTGACACTCATGTGAAATAAAGTCACCACCAGGCATGTATAGTGATGGCCTGGAGCACATGTAATAACATGAGGAGCCCTGAATGGATTGTCACTCCAATCTGGAATCCTGGAAAAATTGGTTTTAACTCCGAAGACCGTGATCTGGATTTATGTTTGGTTTTGACTCCATTGATTTGTTTATTCACCGTTTCTACTGAGCCCCGGGGTTTACACTGCTGCTAATTATACCGGTCATACAGACATCGTTCCAGCACCACACACATCGCCAGAGAACCTCCTTCCCTCCACCCGTGTCCCGAGGATCCCTTTTAACCTACACCCCACCCCCACTCTCGGAACCTGCATGTGAGCTCAGCTCTATAGAGAACAGCTTTAGTTTGGATTTGCTGGAGAAATCAACATGGTTTGCTTTCCCTAATGCTGTCACTCAAATGAAGCCCTTGTCAGTGCCCCCCTCCGCCCCCTCCCCCTGTAGGTGCTCTACCATGCTTTGCTGTTTTTAATTTTCCATTCCCCCAGATTTATTTTCTGGTGCCCACATGGACTGTTTCATTCTGGGCTCTCTCATTCTTTCTGTGTCAGTGTGTTCCGCGAGTGCCTTTACGACACGCTAAGGCTATTGTCCAGTGTTGTCCAGCTTAAGATGATTCCTTAGCTTCCTGTGCTCCTGTCCTCATGGCAGATGGCTACTCCAGGACCTGACATTGACAGGTCTGCAGGGGTTAAAGCAAATTAAAAGAGAGCTTGGTCTCACCCATTTTTTTTTTCATTCTTCCTTGCCACCCCATCCCCCCAACCCCCATTTGTATTGCTGATTTAATGTCTGTGCTTCCTCTCTGCATGTTCACACTCATATAAATTCATCCCCTTCTGTTACAGGAATGATGAAGCCAGCAGGGCCTATGGGGGCTGCTGCCCCTGGGGGGGTGTTGCCTCCGGGCCCTCCACCCCCTGGACCCCAGCAGTTTGGCCAGAATGGAACCCATATGCCAGGACTTCCTCCCCAGAGGTAAGCTCGGCGGAGGCCATGCCTCCAGCAATCTCAGAGGCCCCTCTGAACTCTGTTGTTCAAAGTTTGGCTTCTTACTTACTGAAAAACAGAAGACTCACACTTAACTAAATCAGAAGGCTTGTATTGGAACACGGCCTTCCTGGGGGAAAATCACTTAGAAAACATTAGAGGAAAAAATGCGATCTAAGCACATATTTTATTTGTTTGTTTTTTGGTTTGGGGACCACACTTGGCTCTGCACTCAGGGATCACTTCCTGGCCAGGCTCAGGGACCATATGGGGCTCAGGGGACCAAACCCAGGTCAGCCACTTGCAAAGCAAGTGCCCTACCTTCTGGGTTATCTCTCTGGCCCATATGCACATATTTTAAAAATGTGTCATACATTACTTGTATCGATAACTCATTTTTGTGTGGGTCATCTTTGTCTTATTTTAGAGTTTTTGTTTTAGTCTCTTGAGTCCCTTGGGTTTACAGCCTCGCTTCCTCAATGAGATTCTATCAGCTCATTTAAATCTTGTTGACTCCTTCACACAACTGAGTTTCCAGGTGCTTAGTATTTTAAAAAAATTAAATGGAATTTTTGTCCGTGGTGAACACTGGCCCTGAGGAGAAGCCACACAGATACCGGGAACAGGACAGGACAGAACAGTAGTTTAAAAAACAACAATAACAGCAGGAGAAATTAATCTGGTGCTTGTAGGTGTAATGATTTAAGGAGGGGAGGGTTGGAGGCGGGTCTGGCCGCAGTAGACAGTACATGAGATATTTCGAGCCCAGTGTCCCTCCTGGGGCTGAGCCCCCGGGGATGGCAGCTGGCATCATGCCTTCCCTGCTGGAAACCCAAATCATGTTTGTCCTGAGAGGTGCTGCTCCCGGAAGCTCGGTGCCCCACGCCAGGCAGTGTTTACTCTGTCGTTCCTGTAGGATTTCCTAGAGCTGCAGACCCCTCGTTACTTTTATTCCCTTTACTTTTTTAAATTAGAAAGATTTTAATTATTCTACTTTACTATTTATTTAGATTCGCATTTGGGCCCCACCCAGCAGTAGTCACGCTCTTCCTGGTTCAGCCCTCAGGAATCATTCCAGTTCTTGGGGGACTGTAGGTTGTGCTGGAGATCAAACGAGACTTGGCTGCACGAAAGTGCCTTACCTCCCATGCTAGCTCTTCAGCACCCCTCCCCCCCCAGCCCCAGATTTTTCATTGTGAATATTTTTGTTTGTTTGGAGGCCACATCTGCTCAGTGCTCTCTGGTCTCTGCCAGTAGTGCTCAGGGGCCTGGTGTTGACGATCAAACCTGGGCATCTGTCACGCACTCAGCTCCTGCAGCTGTCTCTCCACTCACCCAGGGCAGTCAGGTTGTGGGGGCAGATGGAGTAGCCTCTCTTCCTCAGCGTGTATCTAGAACCCGAGAAAGGTACATTTTACTACCTTTTAAGGAGTCTGTAGTGTCTGCTACTAGGAAAACTCCATCTGCAGGTTTTTTTTTAAATGGATAAACATGACCTCATTAAAATTTAAATAGTTTACTCTTCAAAGCATACTGATGGGAAAATGAAATGATAAACCACAGATGAGAAGTTATAAACACTTGTTATTATAAAGGGCTTTTACCTGGAATATATGAAGATCTAGTAAATTGGCCCACTCGAGCAAATCAATGAACAATGGGAGGACAGGGCTACAGTGCAGTAAATTCAATATTTAGATATGTAGTACGATAGCACTGTCGTAGCACTGTTGTCCCGTTGTTCATCAATTTGCCCGAGCGGGCACCAGTAGCGTCTCCATTGTGAGACTTGTTGTTACTGTTTTTAGCATATCAAATACGCCACAGGGAGCTTGTCAGGCTATGCTGTGTAGGCAGGATACTCTTGGTAGCTTGCCAGGCTCTCCGAGAGGAATGGAGGAATCGAACCCAGGTTATCTGCGTGCAAGGCAAACACCCTACCCACTGTGCTATTGCTCCAACCCTATTTAGATATACATTGGGTGAAATTAAAGTGTGAAATATTCGGTTTTTCATTTAGTTATTGTTTTACAGTATTATATGATATAGGGGTTTAGTTTCATAATTTTCATAATTGATGGTAACCAAAGGTTCAGAATGGCAGAATGTCATCCTTTTTAATGACATCCCAGTATTCCATTGAGTATATAAATATATATACACATGTGTATACATGTGTGTATGTGTATATATGTGCACATATGTATATATACACATATATGTATGCATATATATACGTGTGTATATGCGTGTATACCATTGCTTCTTTGTCCCATCATCTGTCAATGGGCATTTCAGTTATGGGGTATAGGTATCTGCCAAGGACCATTTGGAATTAATGACATTCTCAGCCCATACAATATCAGCATATGGGTCTGAGCATCAATGAGAAGCATTGAAGCATCGGTGTTTGTCCTGGTGTGTCCCAGGGCCAGACCATATGATTCTGCACGTCTTACCGGATCTGTGAGCCAAATGTTCCCCTGATGTAGATGCCTGTCATAGTCAGCTGTTGTGAATAATGCTGCCATGAATACCCTCTACCATGAATACCCTCTTCATTCATAGTCCATTGAATTTTTGTTTTTTTAAATCACCAAACTAATGAACTCCTTTACAGGCATCTGTGAGGTTGACATTTCTTGGTAGTGGTTTGTTGTGACCCATTTGCCATTGGGATGTCGTTGTGATTCTCAGGGTAAAGGTTGATGCAGACGGTGGCAGGGAGGAGTCCAAGTGAGTGTTGTGTGTGATTGTCATTTCAGCAGGAAGTCAAAGGGCCTTCCTTGGGACATAACCCTGGGGCCTCTGGTCTCAGGAGTGCTCTGGCAGCGCCAGAGAGGGGAGTTGAGAGGCTCATTTGGTGCCACTGTCTCGGTGATGCTGATGCCTCATTTTCCTCTCCTGCCAAAGGAAGAGTTGAATCCTTGGTCCAGGGAAAAGGTTATTGCCTGAACTGCCACATCTCAGTATGTTTAAAAACAGATGAAACACAGCTGGTTGGAAGTCCAGAACAGGTGTGGGTCATTGGATCGATCTCGATCGGATGAGTTGCCTGAGTTCCTTCTGTTTTATTTATTTATTTTTTGCCACTTGAATTTGGTTGCAGGAAAGTTGCTGGGGAGGAAGAGATCAACTTTACCATCTGACAGGCTCTGGCTTTGCACTGTGGGGCCAGACTCGGACCCAGAGAGGGGTGGAGAGTCAGGTAGCTTCTCTCTGGAAAAGCTCTTCTGCCTCTGTGTGCCAAGGCTGCATACCCAGAGTTTAACAATGACAGGGAGGTTGTGCAGGACTGATGGTTCACGTGGGGGACCTTAACTGTGCCGGCCCTGGGCCTCTCCACATCTTGGCCACACTCATTGCATTTCCCCTGGACTTATTCTGCAAGTCTGAAGTTTACCTTTTTGTTAAAAGTGTATTTTGGGGCTACCCAATGTAGTCTGCCCACAAGGCAGAGTCTGGCAAATTCCCCGTGGCGTACCCAATATGCCAAATACCAGTAACAAAGATGGGTCTCATTCTCCTAAAGAGCCTTGAATATAATCTCAGGGCTAGGATGAAGGAGATGTTACTGGGGCCTGCTCGAGGCAATCGACGAATAACAGGATGATTTGTGATTTCTGATTTGTGTATTTTGGGGAGTGGGAGGGACATGACTCTTGGTGCCCAGGTGTTACTCCTGGAAGGACTCAGGAGACCATATGGGATGCCAAGTATAGAACCCAGGTTGGTCACTTGCAAGACAAGCGCCTTACCCACTGCACTGTTACCCAGTACTGTAGTTTACTCTCCTGACAAGCTCAGTCTTGCTACTTTTGACAGCCCAGTGTGTACTTTGCTCACAGTTCCAAGGGAAAGACCTAACAGATTTTTGCTTTCCTCACCTCTACTGTTGCTTTGCCTCACCTGGGGGATGAGAAATGGAAAGATCTTGGAAAAATCTAGTATCCACAGTCCTTATGCTACTTTGCCCTCCTGTGACACCTTTCTGGGTATGTTCAGTGCAAGGACAAAGGGCGCAGTTCTTGTGCCCGTGAGTCACCCCATCCTGATGACAGGGTGTCAGAGAGCAAAGAGAGCTCACAACCTTTCTCTGGTAATTGTCACCGTCCTCCATGTTCTTCGTACTTCGGCCCCCCACCGAGGAAGTCACTTCCTCTCACCAGACCGAAACTGTCCAATGAAACCCAATGTGTTTCAGTCTCTGCTGATTTAAGCTCAGAAGGTACATGCTTCTCTTGTTACAGAATGTTAGTCTAGGGAGACTGTTTCTTCACATTTAAAAACCATATGTAGAGAGATAAGATAGTTCAGTGGGTAAGGCACTTGTCTTACACAGACCAACATCTCATATGGTCTCTGGGGCCCTGCCAAGAATAAGCCCTGAGCACCACTGGGTGTGGCCTCAAAAACAAAAAAATAAAGAATAATAAAAAAAAACTTGTTATCACGTGTCCTTTTGATCTTGATTGAGCAGAATAAATGTCTTAAAATTATATGTGCCATCAAAGTTCCCTATAAGAGATTGCTTCTGGGCAGGATTAATTGCCTAAACACCTGAGAATCTAAAAATCCATTTTTTTTTATTATGAAAGAAAAAAAATCAGCTAATTGAACGTGATATATTTGGTTAAGAAATGATGTATTGTTAAGAGGAGATGTGTCCCTTTAATTTGAAGCTGATGGGGTGACACTACTAAGAAATTGTAATGGGAATGAACTATAGAAATGATCCCGGAAAGTATAGGTGGGATTGGTGTTGGAGTACTGAATGTAATAAATTATTGTAAACAACATTTTTTTTGCTTTTTGGGTCACACCTGGTAATATATGGGGGTTACACCTGGCTCTGCACTCAAGAATTACCCCTGGCGGTGCTCAGAGGACCATATGGGATGCTGGGAATTGAACCTGGGTCAGCCTCCTGCAAGGCAAATGCCCTACCCACTGTGCTATTGCTCCAGGCCCTATTGTGAACAACTTTA